GAGTGGCAGTGGGATTTCTGGCACTTGAATAAGCGGAAACAATATTTTTGGCTGGAGAGACTTCTCCTGAGTTCTCTCAGGGAGCCTTCTAGAAGGCCATCTGGACCAAACCGTATTTCTTTTGTAAAGCCCTCCACTTGGAAACACAAATAAAAGGTGTGTGAACTGCCACCAGATAGCTATGAAAATTTGGTTTCAATATTTGGGTGGGAGGATTTGTTATTTTTCGTAAGTTTTCTAGGTGAAAAGATGTACATGGAGAAAAAGCTCATTTTTCTATCCTTATGAAGAGCTAACTTTGTCATTTATATTCCAGGAAAGCATGTACTTACTAATGTAAACTTACTAATTTTCACCATTGTTCTCACAGTGAAATTAGGATATTTCTGTGGTGTGTGATATTTACAATCGTCAGGTAGTGACCTTCTTTTTGACTTTTATAACTGTTAGTTGAATATAGATTTTAAAGATGAACAATTCCCCTTCCTGGGTTTTTAGTCAGCTTGTGAAAGTATAATGAATAAAAACATTGAAAAGATAAGTTAAATTCTTCTAAAACCATCTAAAGCATTTATAGCAATGATATGAATAAAATAGAATTTTTGGAAAACTGAAAAATGGGTGAAAAAAGTCATGCTTCTACCCAGATATCACAGAAATATAACTATTCGACCAAAGTACCCTTACAAATCGATCACATGTTATATTTTGCTATTCCTTCACATTTTTCTGTTAGAATGTCCATTTGGGAAAAGAAGGATAACTCCTTACATTAAAGTTTCCTGTGATTAGTGATTGTTTATAAAAAATTGTTTCCTTTCCCTGCCATATTTGCCTAAGACGTGATGAATATAAAGAGGAGGCATTTAGCATAAAATTTGTAATACAGAAAAAAGTGAAAAATACATCATCATATGTACTTGAAAGAACATATATTACATAAATATGTATGTTATCTGTGTTTATTTATATACAAATTAGTTCCCATTAATATTAACTAAGTATTTGCTTGAGATAGTTTTCATTTCAATTATCCAATTTTCATACTGTAAAAAAATTTAAGTTACTTAAAAAAGAACTGTGAAAATCATGCTTTTTAAATGGGCAATACTAAATTTGGTTTTGAATGGAGAATTTTCAAATATTATTAGAATCACCGTTATGAAAAATGACGTAAAAGCAGAATTAACATTTAACACAACCCTTTATAAATTTCAAACAACCCACACGGAAATGATTCATCCTAGCTAAAATATTTTACAAATAATTTGAAGCTAAAATGAGTAATGACATGCAGGTAGTATCTCAAAAAACATTTTTCTAGAAGGATGGAAGCAAGAAACTGATTAGTATTATGGAAGGATCCTTCACGACTGATGTCAGCCAAATTACAAATATTTTAGCCTATGGGAATTAAAATAGGAGCATATATTAGAAATGTAGAATGTTTAAACTTGGCAGTCAACAGATTTCCATGAGAAAAGATAACCCGGAGTCTCTAATGTCAGTCTGTACTCTAATTCTTAGTAGTGAGGACTATCTTGCCAGGCAGAATTCTTTAGCCTGAAAATGCATTTTCAGTGTCTAGAAATGAAGCGTCTATGTAGATTATATGAGCTGATTATTAGTGTTATTATTTTACTTCATAGTGTTTTTCACTAGATATATATAACACTAAAGGTATCAAACTTTATTTCCTTAGGACTTCTAATTAAAATTTTGAAAAATCCCATCAAAGACTGAATTCCAACCATTTATTTGCTCCTGTCCTAAGAGGCCCTATGAATTTTGTCACATGGAAAGGACAGGAAGAAAAAGGTAGAACTTTTTATTTTTCAATAACACAAGAAATGATTATAACTATAGAAAACACAAATGGCCCAGCATTAACTGGGAACTTGAGCGATTCCTTTGGAATTTGGAAGAATATAATTTAAGATGGGAACAGGAAGAAGGAGAGAAAAGCAAAGATACATCCGTTTTGCCTTCTTGGGTCATTTCTATTTAAAAGTATTATGTGAATGAAATTTTCACCAGAGGGGAAAAGGTCTTCCAGAGATTTCTGAGGGCCTCACTGGGCCACAGGCCGTCAGTCTCCCATGTTTGGGAGCGTCATCTACGCTCTGGGCGAAATAAGGAGGGCTCCTGTTTTCAACAGCGACTCTCATTCGAAATAAAGCAGATGAGACGCTTGTCAGAAGCAGTACTTTTCACAACGGAGCAACCTATTTCTATGAAATCTTTACAAACAGAACTCACATTATTTAAGCCCCCAAGATCCCCTCAAGACCCAGAGCCACCTACCTGCAGATCCCATTTTTGTGACCAGTCAGTTTACAAGCAAAGTGAAAAAAACCCACACTAACTGCATAAAATAACCATATGTCCCCACTGGAAGCCCCATTACTCGAATCATTTAAACCTTGCTGGACAAAGAACCAGGAGAATTTTGCTGTAGGAAACAAAACTCCACCAACGGGGCAGGAAGAAATGACCTAAGAGCTGGTCTCCCCTTTCTGCTCCAGCGTCTGTGTGTTTCTGTGTGAAGAAAAGCAGACCCGTTGCACCATTGCGAAGGCTCGTGCCCCAACCAGAGGGCATTTCTTAGTAAAACAACCGTTCACAATTTAACATTTAAATTGCCATCATCAAACGGCACAGGCAACTTTGGGACCATTTTTTCTGGGACGACATGCTCAGGACATGATGGAAAGGGGACTGAAATGCCAGGGACAGGATAAGTTTCTGGTCTGACTTTTGTTTAATGGCTACTGAAATGTAGGGGACCCCTCTCACCCCCCACCATGCACAGTGCGGGGTAGCTGTACTGCCGCCGCTCTCGGGGTGGGATGGCAGTGGAAGCGGTGCACCTGGACCAGGCCTCTGCTCTGCTGGTGCCTCAGTGTACCGTGTCAGTAAGAAGTGTTTCTCGGGTGCATCTCCTCAATGGGCACAGGGCACACTGCAGCGATGGAGACCATTCTGCGCCTGTGTGCACAGGCAAGTGTGCACGAGAGGGGAGTGGGTAGAGGCTGAGGTTATTTGTACTAGTGTCTACCAGAGGCTCTTCTCTCTAGGTAGATATCGATGTTTATTCATAAAGGAGGTCTTTTTTTTTTTTTAAGAATTTTTTTTTATGGGAGATGTCTGCACTCACTAGAGAGAAACAGAGACAGAGAGAATGAAAGTGAGAAATCGTCCCCCAAGGGGATGGCCACCCACAATCCCTTTCTCTCCATTTTCCGCCTGGAATTTTGGGTGCATACACACATGCGTCCAGTGTGATTTTCAAGCTACTGGGTCCTGGACTCCAACTGCGGTTGACCATGTGGAAGTCCAGCGTCTTAACCATCCTGCCAGATGCTGACCCTCACGAGGAATCTTGATTTGGGGTTAAGATTTGAAGGCCCGATGGTGGCACAGCAATAAAATGCTATGCTCTGCTAGGCCCACCCACGTTGGAAGGTGCTGGGTTCATGTCTGGAGACCTCGCTAAGTTCGCTAGGCCTGCGTGTGCCCTGACCCAGGGCTGGCTGAGCCTCAGAGTGAATCACAGGCATGGAGGCCCTGTGAGGTGCTGTCTCTCTGTCTCTGTCTCTCTATTTCATTCATGGAAAGAGCAAATAAACCTTAAAAAAGATGTAGGAATGGTCATAAAACATAATGAGCATACTGTCAACTTTAAATATTTTTCTGTGACATACATTGTGTTTCCAGTGGCCACAGTTGATATGAAATCTAAGGATGTTATTTATCATAAAACTGGTCGAAGTCCAAGTTAGACGTTTCAGTGGAACCCATCGTGCCTTTAGAGAGAGGTGTGAGTTTGTGCAGAGATGAACCTGCCTATGTGAGTGTGGGACGTGTGCATGGTCAGGGATGAGGGCAGGCGTCCACAGGGAATGACCCATTTAATATTGTTGCCTACCCCTGCGAGGCCTGGGACCTCCGTGTTCTCACTGCCAGCCGAGAGAGCAGAGGGCTTCTCACACGGATGTCGCAGGCTCACAACTGAACACTGCTTTTTCCTTTCTTTTTCTTTCCTTTTTTCTTTTCCAAATTTTTTCATCCAAGGAGACAGTTTAACATTTAGAACCTCACTGATTTTCAGTATTCTTTTTCCCAAGTAACTGTATAGCCAATATCAAAACTTCACTCCTAGGGAAGTTGCAAGGCTGAGTTTAGCGATTACCTCTAGGACAGATTTACCAAGGCAACTTTTCCTCCTATCCTCTTAAAAAGAGGCAAACGGTCTTATTGCAAATAACCTTTAAGATAATTAACTGACAATGCTGCAACTAGCATAAAATCTTCCTTCAGGCGACACCTAATTTAAGTGTTACTGGCACAAAGTGGAGACAGATTGTGCATTACCACTGCAATATTTACATAGCAGAAACCCACAGAGCAGGAAACGCCGGGCTCAGTGATGCACTAAATTAGGAGCAACCGTGCTCCAGTGTTAATTTGCTTCCCATTCTAGCCAGATCTCAGGTCCAGAAATTGGTACACACACATAGACAACCTCCCACTCTGAAATGACTAAACCAGAGGAGATTTTTGTACTTTTTCCCTCCAAAATGAAAATAACTTGCAATTTATTTCTTTTCTCCACAAGCACCATTTGGTCAAACTGTGTTTATTTCATTACAACTTGCTGTCGCTTTGATCTAAAATTATTTTCATATGAATGCCGCATCGAAGCTATAGAGGAAAACGAAACAGACTTCTCCTGTTTTCTCTAAGGCTGCCAACATATTTTAGGAAAAACATAAAAAGAGAAACTTGAGAGCCAGTTAGTGAAATATTTCAGCACATGAGCAGGGCCAGCTACCTTAAGCAATTTTCTCACTGATCAATGAATGCTGTTCCTTCACCCCCTCCCTTACCCCTGAAATACCATGAGTTTTCTTAAACTGTTCAAACAATATATATCCGGTCATTCTTCCTCACCATCTTTTAAACACCAGTTTCACCCGAGGCATGAACAAAATATTTACCTTTCCTAATCGCTGATGTTCTTTAAAGGCAGCCATCAGTTCTTCGGCCCACTTGATTTTTTCAGGGGACGGAGAAAACTGCTCCTGGACCACGGCGATTTGGTTAGGGTGGATCACCTGTTTACCTGCGAGGAGATGAGCAACATCAGAAGCTCGAGACAAAACACATGCTTCCAGCACACAAGGTCCTGAGTACCTCACATGCTGGATGGTGCAGAACTATTTTAGAACCTGTTTCTAAAAAACACAACACAAAACAGAAGCTGCCATCTGTGGGCTTTTCCAGAAGGCCACAGAAGAACAAATGCGACATTGGACGGAACCGTGTCCCGGATCCTATATACTCGCACTTTTATTACAGGTGGATGGCGCGGGCAGTGCACCGAACAACTGCGTGGGCTGGGACTTTGACGGCTAAGTTCTGCAAATCCGAGTGATTATTTCAAGTTAAAATAGAAGAAAACTTCATGAGAATTCTGAGGTTTTTTTTTTTTTTTTTTTTTTGCTTATGTTATAGGATTATACCACCTTCCATGGTTTCTTTTAGAAGTGGCCTGTTGGTTTTCATAAAGGTTACAGAAACAGATGACGTTACAACTATATTAATATGAAATATTCTTTTCTTTTCCTTTACATAACGTAATGTGTCATTTCTAACCCCTAATAGAAAAATGAATTTTAATGAAAATATTTTCTTCAGTGCAAGGGTGGATTTGAATACCGTGACCTCTAGAATCCTCCACTAAATTTTTTTAAATAAAAAATTATAGAAATTTTCTGTCTCAAATTGTATCTAGATTTCCCCTTTTTACTTGTAGAATGAAGACTAGGCAGAAATCTTTATAGCATCTTGCACACTTCAGCATAAATCTTATCCCTGTAGAAATTACTTCAAATATGGTTTGGGATTTTTTTTTGAAGTTTAAAGATTTTAAATAAAAACATTACATAAAGAATCACAGGACCTGTGAATTCATGCAATTGTTAGAAAAAAACAATTTAACAATTAGGGAAGTGTGGAATCCAATCAGGTCATTAATAAAATGTATGTAATTTAGTGTTATAATAATGATGAGATTATATTTTATTGCATGATAAAGTACTGGATGTGTTTGGTTCTTTAAAACTGAATGTGCACTTAATGGTCATTACCTCTGCTAAATATATTTGCTGGTATATCAGTTTGCTTTGCTTTTGAAGATAGTTGTTTTAACATTTAGCCAGTACAAATTATATCCTTGATGTTTTATACAATGTTAGCTCCTGTTACTGTCATTATTCTAGTCAATAGGAAAAGGAACAATGTTTCAAAAAAAAAAAAAAACCACTTTAGTAGTGTGTCCTGAGGAAGAGTTTAAGTAGATAAATGTAACAATGTCTTTTCTTTATAGTGGCATAATTAAAACGCCCTCAATTGCTGTTTCATTCTTCTCTGTTGACATACTAATAAAACATTACAAATCTATATAAATAAAGATGCTTTAAATTATTTGAGGAATAATTGCTGGAAACAAATGTGAGTGATGACAAGTGTGAGCTTTTCCCAATTTTTCAACAGTGTGGACCGAGATTACATTTAGGTAATCTAATAGCTGTTACGATATTATTAATAAAGGATGTCAGTTCTGGTAGTCATTTCCTACTAATTGTTAGCTCTGAATTTTATAATTTATGTACATAATTTACCCTGATGTGTAAAAAGTCAGATTTCATGGGAACTTTTCAGTATAGGCACTATAATTTGAGGAGCAAATAGCCAGTTAAAACACTGTGAAATTATTGACGGCTCTCAAGTACCTGCATTTTGGTAATGAGTTTAATTTTAAGATATGGATTTGGTCTTAGAAATTGATGAACATTTATACGTAAGTTCTCCTTTGTGGCATCTTATACATTCCAACGACTGTGGAACAGACTTTAATGCCATGTGGGAACGAAGCAACTACTTTATATAGAAGAGATGTTATTGACAAGTTACGGAGAGGGTGCAAAATTGGAAGACATTAAAATTTATGACCATGAAATCCTTTTTACAGTAGCACTTGATATATCGTGCTTTAAATCAATACCTGTCAAGTCTTTTAGGTAACTGTATGATGGTGTCATTTTTGTCTTCTACAAAAGACTGCAAAAGAGAAGAAAACGCAGAGTGCTTCATATTTATAATCTTTCTTCTCAGCATGCTGTACTGGACTAACTGTAATGACTAAGGCAGCTGTTAAAGCTTTATTTCAAGATTGAGTTTGGCTTCCTTTTTATAAAAAAATTCCTAAAGTTCATGGCCATTTAGACAGCCAATGCATTGATTTAAAATCAATCGATGTGCAATGTGACCCTGTGAATGTGACCCTATTCTGCAGAATAGAAACTATAGCCCACTTTTGAGTGTGTGGCTAACTTTTAAAAAACAACTCATTAAAAAAATCTGTATCTTGGGGGACTGGCAGGTGGCATGGTGATTAAGGGCACTGGACTCCCACATGGCCAACTGCAGTTCAAGTCCTGGACCTGGCAGATTGCTCTCTCTCTCTCTCTCTCTCTCTCTATCATTCTGTCCCTCTCTGGGCAAATGAAAATAAATAAATAAATAAAGTTAAATAAAATAATTCTTTAATAAAAAACTATCTCTCTCTCTATTTTTTTTAAGTACAGAAAATCCTTCCAGCATAGATTGGGTCTTCTTAATCAGTTTTATGGATAACTTACTACTTTCACTGGATTTTAAATCTTTCAACTGCCTGCTTCAAATAGGATATGTATCCTTCCTTTTCTTCCTTCCTGTGTGAAGCCCAAGGTATGGCAATTAAATGCCAAATAATCAGGACAAACAGATCCTGAGTGGCATAAAAATACTCGTTGAAAAACACATCTTTAAAAAATACTACAAATAATCTCATATCTTTTAATTACCTTTTATTGGTATGTAGAAATATCATTGGGGCAACAAAGACCTTCTCTCTAAAAATTGCAAAATGGCTCTGGAGTGTGGCTCCTGGGTTTGCATCTCGGCCACTTGAATGTAGACTGGGCACTGTGCCTTCCCTGCCTCCCGCTTCCCCCTGCTTCCATTTTTTTGTGATGTGATGCTCCCTGGTGTGGAGAAACAATGGTGCCAGGCCCAGGAGCTCTGCGTGCGGAGCTGGGCACAGTCTAAAATCTAAACCTGATTTGAAAGAGCGTGTCTTCTGATTGAATTAGGGACCAATTTAATTCAGTCCTGGATCTTGGAGAAACTCTTGAGCCCCTGTAGAAGTTCCGGAGCGAACGTTTTACCCCAGAGGAGGCTCAGGAAACCCAGGCTGTGCCTAGCGGTGGCCAGGGAGGCTGGTGTCACTGTGTGCTATTTTTTCATCGAATTAGTTCCCATTTCAGAGCAACATCTGGCTGTCTGGCAGTCAGTGCTACGCTGCTTGGGCCAGCAACATCAGGGTCTATTAGACAGATTTCATGGAGTTTTCCTCCAACTTTTCCATTTGGGCCACATCCTAACCAGTCATTGGCAAGAGGCAGGAGCAAGCCAAGCCTCCGGGGTGGGAGAGGGACTCCTTTCTCAATCACTAGTAAACGTAGGGAGGACTGATTTACCAAGAGCTCAGAGACTTGAAAAGATATCCGTAAGGGATCCCTAGTTATTGATTCGTTCAGAAAACGGGGAATCGTATTCTAGCTTTTCATGTTAAAAATAGAACCAATGCCAGAACTTTATTTCATTGTAATATAATACTTTGCTTAAGTCTTTCCATCTTATTGGAAATTAAATCACCAGCCCTTACGATAGCATTTACAACTAAGGGCACTGGATGAAATGCCTCTCTCAGTAACCCCTCACTGGACGGATCGCAAAGGTATTTATAAGAGGATATGAGGATGCTTGTCTTCCTTACTAGTTGGCTACATTTCTGATATAAATATTCTTAGACCTTCTGATACAAGAACAAATAAGAACGAAAGAGCTTATAGTATTGTTTTCCATGTCGTGTGTGTGTGTGTGTGTGTGAGTGTGTGTGTGTGCGCACTCGCATAACTGCATGTGTGTGTGTAGAATCCTTTGGTGAGTTTTTTGTTTTTTTTTTTTTTAAGATTTCTGTTGCAAAAAAAAAAAAAAAAAAAAAGCAAAAAAAACAATGTTTAGTTCCTCCCCTGGCTCATGGAGAGCTGAGTGCTCAGACATACTAGCTGAGATTCCTGCCAGCACCCCAGTCTAGACTGCAAGGGACCTGCTGCTCTTAGCACCCGCTGCCGCCCACAGGTGTCACCAGGTGCAGACACTTACGGGGAGGCCATGAGCGAGGAGGGGCGTGAAGCAGCAGCAGAACAGAAAGTGGTCGTGAGTGAAAAAACAAATCAAAGATATCACCAGTTTTTGTGTTTTTTTTCCCCAGAAAGGATATTTTAGGAAATTTTCTTCTACCTCTCATTCCAACTTCATACAGCAGTTCACTCCAAACACTTTGAGAACAGCCTCCTCCCTTCCCTCACATCAGCCAAAAGGACCACAAGGCACTAAGAGGATAGGGAAAATTAACACGGAGAGAAAAAATGAAACCATTTCCTTTTGGACTTGCAGAAAGAAACCTGACTGACTGTTTGCAGGCTGCGTCCTGCGTGGCGTTGCAATGTTTCAGTCGTGGACTGAGTACAGGGTGACAGCACCGGGGACAGTAACTTCTGGTTACTGCCCTTTCCTGGCGTGCTCGCTGCTCTGGACGTGGCCTTCTAAGAGAGCAAGCATCTTACCCGTGAAGCCCATGGCGGCCCCTTCTCTGGACTGTCTAAGGAGACCGTCTCCATCCCGGAAGTCGATGTACACCAGGTCGATAGCTTGCAGCCCAAAGGCCTTCGCGGTGACAACAATCTTTTGTCGGGCGTACAGAAGGTCCTGCGTGTCTTTACTACTTGTTGCACCTAGAAACGGGGTGTTGACAGAAAAAGGGGGCTTTAACTCTGGAAACCAAACTCAGACATTTAGCATAAAAACTCTGCGTGTAAAGGCATCTGTCTGCCTGGAAACTGCTCCCCAGCAAAAGAATCACTCAGTATTGACAAGAGAGGGGTGAGGGGGGCAAAATTAAATTGGCTAAATGTGGTTTCAATGTCTACTTAACCGGCGAGGTGCCCTTCAATAGTTACTTCTACATGTATTCGGTAAAGGTGCCCTCCCCGTTTCAGGGGGTAGACTCAGGGTCACAAGTGACTCCTGCAGGATTTTTTTTTCTTCTTGTCACTGCTCAGAAACAGTCCAAAGACAGTGGGACAAAAGATGGGCCGGGCAAGGAAACGGTTAACTTCTCACAAGGCGCCCGTGCCATGCTGTGGCCTGTCCTCCTGAGGCTTCGTACTTCCACACTTCAGCCTCAGCCTCGGGGCTTGGAGGGAGACCTTGGGGCAACGGGAGGACACCTGTTTCGAGAGAGGCAGGAAGTGTCCTTTGCCTCCTGTGCCCTGCTGAGCGATCAGGTGCACACAAGTCCCCGGATGGGCTGATACTAAATTCTGCTTTCACCTTGCAGTGTCGACGAGTCGAGTCGACAAGGATGAGGGAGTGGAGGGCGGCAGTGTTTCTATTTGGACCACGACACTACTGCTCAGGGGGAGGGCCTGTCTTCGGGTCACTGGGACCATAGTTCTGAAAATGCTGTCTGTGGCCTTGGCCTCTTTTCTAGATGCCCTCCCAGCCTCTGATTACACCGTCCCCCCCAAGACTGGAAGCACAGGGCTGGAGGGGACTGAAGACAGTGAAAACTGGCCCCGTGTCTCAGTTCATAGGTAATAGCAGGAGTTCTGAAATATATTTTAAAAGACATTCAAGATCTATTTTAAATGACAGTTACGTACTACATTTAACGTAGAAAACAATCCATTAAGGTGAATGTGAAATTGATTTACATTTGTGTTGGAAGCTTAGACTGACATGAAAACAGAATCTGTATTATTTGAGGTTGTCCCCATAATATATTTATTAGGGGCCAAGGCGACGCTGTATGTTCCTGTCCACACCTGAGGCTGCCACAGGCTTTTCATCAGTTTTTGTATGGATAAACCAAAGTAATGATGCAGTGTCCTGGAAGCTGGACAGCTATGAGGAGCCCTACGTTACTAGGAAGGGTTATCCATTCCATTGTCTTGGACAACTACTGCCACGGTTGGCAAGTACACATTGTCATGTAAATGCCCATTCGGGAGAGGCAAAGAAAAACATACACGCACACGCGCACACGCAGACGCACAGAGGGGTCTTTGGTACCTATGCTGGCCCGAAAGTCTTCTCCTCCAAAAACAACTGCATCAAGAAATAGGCCGACTTGAGGCCCGACCTTCAAGGTTTCCTCACACACAGCCTGAAAAAAGAACAGAGCAGGGGCCAGTCTCAGAATCGTGTGCACCGGAAGAGAAGTGGCAGGCCACAGATCCGCCCGATTCCCACCAGGTTGGCTGACAGCAGTCCTAAAAATGCAGCCAAATTGACCCCTTTCAAAAGATGGTGACTATCATCCAGGTTAGGTATATTGTATATATTAACATGGCTTAATTGATTATATCAATATAACTATTACTATACATGAATATAATTATAATGCTCAAATTGTAGTTCATCCATTTCGAGGGAAATTGAGTTAACTCATTTTGTACTGTAAGTTATTTATATTTTTCCAAAATTGGTCTCAGTTTCAAGAGAGTCTCGGTAAATATAAAACCATAGGAGAGAAGGAACGAATTTTTTAATCAAACCCCTTGGGTGAGTTACATTAAGATCAAGTAAAATGTTTCAGGATGGAAGACAAACAGTGGTAGAAACCTACAACTCCAGGGAGAGGGATGAAAATGCAACAAGTCATCGGAGCTGTGCTAAGAAAGTACCGTGGGCATTCACGTGAGAGCACAGCTTGAAAAAGCTGGTCCGAGACGTGACCGGGACCTGGAGAAGTGCAGTCCTGCATGTCAACATTTGTGGGTGGGAAGGACAGGGGACGGAGGCGACCCTGTGGATTCGCTGCAGGCGTTGTGCTGTTCAGGGAAAGAGCACTGACACTGCAAGCCCCGTCCGAATCTGGTTGCATCTAAGGGCCAAGCTTTGGATTATACGCTGAGGCTTCTAGGGCAGCTGGAAGAAGTCGCGGCGAATTGTGTCAACAAGCTGGTCACGAGGGGAGGCTGGAAAGCAGCTCCCAAACAGTTGCCCTCGGCCCCTCCTGCATGGCCCCAGAGGGCTCCTGGAGACTTCCCTTGCTCACATTGTCTCCCTGTACAAGTCAAATACCTTTTTCTTTGTTTATAGAGACTTTTTCTCCTGACCTGGGGGGGGGGGGGGGGGGGAGAAAAAGGAGGATATGGTGTTGGCTAGAAATTCTGAGAAGAGGGTGCGAGATGGATGTTCCCGGATCCGGTGGAATGAGCCGTGTTTTGGGAAGCAGTACCAACGCTCACGGATAGCGGTGGGAGACAGGCTAGCCCTGACTCGAAGGCAGGCAGTTGGGTGCAACCACGCAGAGGTTGAAAATACTTGGCTCAGCTCTTCTTCTTGGATGTACAGCAGCAAATATTTTATATCCTGATGTGGCAAATTGGAGTAACAGGCTATAAATCATCTGCGCACACAAACTTCCAAACAATAGCCTTATCTGGGGGACATTACGATGTTTCTACAAAGAGGCCAGAACATTTCCCAATGAAAAGGTGACGAAGAGAAAAGAACAATTGAAAGCGAGTGACAAATTTTTCATGCACATTTACTATATGAATGTAATCATTCAAAGCATGTTTTTTACATGGTGATTGTTTACTTATTACCAGGACTATATAAATATTTTATTTCAGTATTTAGGACTAGTAAGCTGTTTCTTCCTATTTAACCAATTCCTTTGTTTTCTACAATGCCAACAACCCGATTTTTGGGTTATTATAGATAACAAACAATGCTCAAGGTTGCCTTCATCTGTAAATTTCTAGAACAAATATTTTAAGTAGACCCTAAAACTAAAAACAAAAGTTCTCTTTAGGTGATAAATAAAATACTAACTTATTAACTACATTATCGTTTTCTTACCTGAAAATTGAGTAAACCCATTGCAGTTTCCACAAAAGGGATTAAATTCACTGGTTGCTCAAGTTTTCGGCCTTTTAAGTGGAATGAGAATCTGTCTGAAAACTGAAATCGACAGTCACAGGAGATTAGCGGGGAAATGCGCGGCCACGGAATATAGACGGAAGTAGCGTCTGAGCCTTTGACCTGAGGAAGTAATACCCCAGCTCTCTGTCCACACAAAAGAGTTAAAAAAAAAAGGCAACTAAAGAAAAAAGGTAAAAAAAGTTTCTACCAAACTAAATAGTAAAACCCCAAGCATTACAATTTTTGTGTTTTGTTTTTGTTTTCTGTTTGTGTGTTTTTTTTTTAGCTCCAAAGGAGCAATTTGAGGCCTAGGAGTTAAAACAGGCATTCTTGAGTTGAAATGCTTTCCGTGAAAACATATTTACTCAGGACCTCTCACCCTCATTTTGTTCCATCCAAATGGCAGGCCCCTAAAACAATGAAGCCTTGCTCTACCTGCCATGCTGTTTTGTTTCGTGCCCAGGACTGACATCCGTGTGACTGTTCGGCAGCTTTCTACGTGGAATCCACATTGTTCGTTACAGCACTATTACTCTTTGTTCAGGAGGCTTTTCCTCATAATTTTTTAGCTTACCTAGGAAGACCTTAAAAAGGAAGTTTAATTCTTTGAAGACCAAAGCTCGCCAATTTTTTCCATGAGACCAGTTCACAGCTAGCTCTGTGCTGCCAGTGGGGTAGCCCAAATTCCAAAATCTATCATCTGGAAACATACAAAAGCTCTTGCACAGAGCTCCCCTCCCTTTTCAAAAGGGGAGAGAAAAAAAACACACACACACACTCTAAATTGTAAATCTATTATGTCTATCTAGATCTAATAAGATGTGGGAAGATAAAAAAGAAACACAGGTATGATAAAGATATTTTTGTAAATAAAGATGAAAACATATCTATCCATTTTAAATTTAAGGAATATTCAGCCATTAATGGATATCAAAGGAAAAGGGAATTTTAATCATCTCTCCATTCAGTCTCAGTTGGGTAAATCATATCTAAGAGATTTGCATAAATATAAACCATCAAAGACTTTTCATCTTCAAAGGGGGTTTCAAGACCCTATAAGCTTTGTACTGTAATCATCACAGGTCACCACCCTGCAGGAATAAGGCTGCTATGGCAACATAAAAAACTAATGCTTACGGCTTAGCATAATATTCTGACTAATAGAAAGGAAACTCATTTTAAAAGCTGGCAGCCTATTTACCAGAAGCGGGATTAGAGGTGTTATTTCCCCTTTTAGCTGCCCCCCCTTGCCTGCGTACCCCCCCTGAAAATCTAATCACTGGGATCTTTAAAAAGCTTTTGAGCAATTTGCAGTAACTTTACAATTAGGCTAAAATAAATCACAGCTTTCAGTAATGAAGAATTATTCCCAGTTGCTCCCTCTGCCCCTCCCTTCAGACGGTCTCATCACCTCCTTAGGAACTTTTCCAGGGAAGGAATAACTCAACCAAAATAGCCAGGACGGAGAGGAGGCTGCCATTCGAGGACCAAATGTCCAGTATTTGGTGTAAATGAAGATAAAACATCATTTACGTTGCATTGCAGGTAGAAAATGGGGAGTGAAATGTTAGTGGTGAGGGTGTTACATTTGCAGTGGGGGATTTTGTTTTTCTCATTCACCAAAGTCAATGTGTACTGAGGTTCACTCCCATCTCTGATCACGCCAGCGCTGCAGAAATCGGAGTCTAAAACTTGGTACACACTTCACAATCTACTTCTTGTTCTTAGTGAGAAAAATCTCTGATGCCTTTTGTTTCCGAGCCAAGACCGGCATCTAAAAATTAAATATTCTAGCCCATCCTCCTCCTCCTCCTCCTCCCCCTCTTAAAAAATTGCATTAAGTACTAACACAAAAGGTAACTAGTGGAGAAGTTTCAATTAATTTTTTCTAAAGGAGACGATTAAATGTTTCCGGCCTGGTAAAGTGTTCATTTCAGTGAGGTGGAGGGGGCCGGGGGGAGGGGGGAGGAAGGGAAGGGGGGAAGATCACAAAGGGATGGGGAGGGGATGAAGTAGCAAGGCTCCGCAATTCTTTCAATTCCAGTGCACACCCAATAGTGTGCTGGAAGAATGCGCACTGTTCGGGATTTGTGGGAGAATTGTCCCGTGACAAAGGAGCCCGAGTTACGCTTGTTATAGTCCAATAAGCCGTGCCAGTCAAACAAGAACCCACACTAGCGACAAAAGGCGAGCAAGAGATTCTCACACAAAAGAAAACAAGTAAGCCCATCTTTCAGTTGTGCATCAGGCTCCGGGTTTTATGCTGCGCATAAATACAAACGGAGAGGGAAAAATAAACAGCCCCAAAGACTTCTCTGAGTGCCAGGTCCTATTTGAATCGCAGTGCATTCCTCCCAGCCCAGGATTTAGAACCGGGCACAGAGGCCGGAGCGGAAGGTGAGGGGGGAGGGGTCCCCACTTCCTTATTAAGGCTAATAACGGTGATAAATAGGCATTAACTATGAAGCCAAAAGGGAACGGTGACTTTAGGGTCCATTTCAATCAACTTAAGACACATCTGAATGGGGTCGGGGCCCTCAAGGATATTAACAGACTGTAGCCAGTATCGCTCAGCTTCTGAGGGTGACCCCACAGAGGAGAACTCCAGTTTAGTAAGTAAATATTGATCCTTGAAGATGTGTCTTCAAGAAGACCCCACCCCGGAGCTGTCCAATAGGAACTGAACAGCTGCGGCCTGAACAATTTAAACTTTCTAGTGGCAACATTAAAGGCGTCGAGTGAAACAGGTCAATTTAATTTGAATAATATCTTGTATTCGGCCCAATAGGGCCAAGATATTTTCACTTCAATGTGGGATCCACATAAAAACTACGGAGATCTTTTCCATTTCCCCTCCCCCTTGGGGTGTACCAAGTGTTCAGAAATGGGTGTGTATCTTACACTTACAGCAAATCAATTTGCACTGTGCACATTTCAAGGGCACGAAAGCCCCAGCTGGCAGGTGACCGCTGTATCGGACAGTGCAGAGCCAACGTAGCTGGGTGCACGAAGAAAGTGAGTTTGGCCAGGTAGGCGACCATTTGGGGAGCTGCTGTGGTGGCCCCCACAGCCTTTGAAATAATACCAGACGTGCCTTCGAAACCACCACTGGCCACTTTCCCGACAACAAACACTCCCAGCACGCAACGTCTCGCAGAGCTCTGCTCTGATCGGCAGGATGAAATGCGATTTTATGCAACAGAGAAGCTGCAGAATAATGGCAACCCCCAAATAAAATCTAGCCCCCCTTTCACAATGAAAACAATCATAGTATAATTAGGCTCGTTTCAAAAGTTTTCTTAGGTAATTCGACATGCCAACCTCTTTCCATTTCAGGGTTTTATTGGCTGAAAAGTCTGTCGTGAAACACAAACACACCTGTCAGCAATTTAAAAAGGACGCACTGGAGGACTGCTCAGGAAATAATATCTGTGCTAATTAAAACCACTAGTTAAAAGCTTCCTGTTTATTCCTCCAGTTGCCCTAAGGAGTGACCTTTTCCTCCCCTTCTCCGGGTTCATTTTTTCATATGCGGCTGATGTGCTCACGCTGGCCACGCTTTCCGATGAACCGCAGCGAGAGCCCTTTACGTCATGGCTAGTCCAGGTGGAGGCCTGGGCGTAGGGCCTGGCAGAACGGGAGAAAGAAATCCTCAGGCAAGCTTGTTCCGGGGCTTGCTCTGTGAGGGCTGTTGAGGAAGCTGTTCTGTTTATACCACAAACCCGATTAGGAAGCAGAAGCATCATCCCACGAGTAGACTTGCTCCATAGAACAAGTGGAGGAAGCGTGACTTGTGCTCGCTCCTTTTCCTCGATTCCCTTCCTCTCTCCTCTGTGTATCTATTTTCCAAACCTATGGCACCCAAATCCTCTTTCTGCCATCCTTCTTAGCCAGTCCTGAGTCTTAAAGCAAAGCATTAGCTACTCACCCATCGGATTTCCTCTGGATTTTCGACCTTTGGGAGCATCAGGCTGGAAGGAAGGACCTGGGATTGCAGGAGGGCCTCCAGGTCTTCTTCGGCCAGACCGCTGGACACTGAGTTGATTCTCACACACTTTTCAGTTGAGCCCAGATCAAAGTCTTCAAGAGTTTTTACTATTCGCAGCCGAGCTTCACTCTACAAGAGTTGGTAAAATGTATCGCCTAAGTTTACAGCATCATCGAAAGGAACACAATCGAGGGTTTGAATTCACTATTGATTGGATTCAGAATCCGAGCACTGTTATTATCCCTACACATCTCCTGACCCCCAAGAAATGATATTTGAAATACTTCATCCAAGCTGATCGGTGAGCGAGTGAGTTCTAGACCTCATTCAAGATGGCCGTCACGCAGCCAAGAGCCGGCAGAATGCATTACTGGCCCACGTCTATCAGTAGTGTCCTCTTGCTCATTAGCATTACTTTCCAACAGCAAGTAAAATCATTAATAGGTAATTATTCACTGACTGAGCATTAGCTAAGTGCTAACCAGGGCTCTAAGTTCTTCACCTGCATTTTCTCATTTAGTAAAAGTAAGAAAACAGTAGCATCTGGATCAGGCATGTGTTTGGCAGCATGTTGACATTAGGGGGGAAAAAAGGATTTGTTTTTCTCTTCCCACATGCATCATGCATTTTTTTACTCCTTTTTTATTTTATTTTTTGCAACTGAAGAGTCTTGACATTCAATTAAGCAAGCGTCCACAGGAATCTGACATGCCGTACTGCCGAAACAGCTCCAGCTTACTCAGGTGGGAGGCGGTAACATCACCGAGAAACTCCTTCATGAAGTGCTTGACAAATACTTTCTTCTCTTTGATTTGACAGTCTTCACCCCCACAGTTAAGAAAAACGGAAAGGCTGAAAGTCTGCTTCCGTATTTGAACTGTCCCCAGAAAAACTGCGTGAAGCCAAACGTGTTCTTTCCTGGCTCCGGGTTGGGGTGAGGAAGGTGGGGTGAGGGAGAGAAGGAGTGGGGTCTGGAGTCAAAGGAAGGAAAGCCCTTGGGGTCATTACTTCCTGCCAATTTCAGTTTCAAAACCGAATTCCTCCAACCTGCCAACAGCCCTCAACCCATTCTCACTGTCAGAATGAACGCGTATCAGAAGTGATTTCATTTGGGAAGGGTTTTTATGATACTAATAAAACTTTAAAGCTTCTCACTGTTGATGAATGTGGTTTAAAAAACCAAACAAAAAACCAAAGCAGTCTCAACAATATACAGCTATCGGGACGGCCTTCCTTAATTTAGGAAAACAGCAAACCGAAGCACAGGCAAAAAAGGATGATTTAAGTCGATACTGAGTGTAAGTCTAATCAAAGAGACAGTCCAGGACAGCAGATTTAAACCAGACGGAGGTAGGTCTGTGAGTGAATGGAAGCAGAGAAGGTTTCCAAATGTGGTCTGAGTTAAGCAGTGTGAGGAAACGGTAGCTTAGAGTTGGCAGGACAGATGGAAACAGGACCTCGGACCAGTTTGGGACAGCTTGGGGAGTGAGGGTTTGCAGAGCATCAGCTGCCAGTGAAGAGGCCAAGCCTGCATAAGAGCAAGAGAGCGCCCCCACTCGCTAAGGCCGGGGCTGCTGCGGGCGACAGTGGCTGGCTCACATCATGCCTTAGCTACCGCCCGGGTATTACACTCACCCACGCGCTCTCCCACGCACCCTCGGGACAGCCCCTACACAAAACGGGACAGCCCCTACCCGAGGAAATCTTGAAGGTGGAGGGCAGAAGTTAGCTCAGTGTCATGGTTCTAAGGCCGTCTAGAGCTGCCAGGAGAAATGCTTGCAGGTCTTTGGCAGTGCATACGTGCATGCATTCATTCACTCATTCGTTCATTCGCAATTTCATAGCGTATGTGCTCTCAGTGGAGAGAGGAGGAGAGAACGTGAGAAAAACCCCTGGAGCAATGACCCTGACTCAGTCCCCTCTCTTCCATTCTCCTCTCAGGATTTTAGGCATGAATGCACATGCACCCACAGTGTTTGTCAAGCGGTTGGGTCTGGGATTCGAATCGTACGTACAGTTAGCCATGTGGGATCCAGCTGCCTTAACCACCATGTCACCTGGCTGGCCTTGCATACCTCTTTTTCGAAGTTTTTCTCTCTTGTAATTTCTTCGGAGTGAGAGAGAGGAGACAGAGCCACCCCTAATCGTCTTCATGCTGAGACTCGCCCCGCCTCAGCCAGCTTAGATCACAGGCACGTGTGTGCATACCTGGTGTGCTCAGAAGAGGCCCTCGGACCAGAACCCTGAACCTTTCTCACCTGGGGCCAGTTGCATTACTGCTGAGCTGCTGTTTGGCCCCGGTATTAAATCCGTTGCCTCCGTCCTGTGTTCCTTGTAGCCCGGACAGCTACACACTGCGGACTTCTCCCACCTGTGAACATCTCAACTTCTGGGTTCTCTCTAACTAGCAAGTCAGCCTCGCCCAGGGCCTGTGGGAACGCAGTGAATGTATAACTGAAAAGAACGTTCTAGGCTGTTTTGGCCAAAATGTATGTTAAAATTTGAGTGACCTGCATCATCGTCGCCATCCTCTGCTTTACTCTGCACGTGTGCTCAGGTGACACGTCGACTTCCTAGGTTGTTAATGTCGGTGTCGGACAAACTCTGACCTCTCCGTTGTGTTGCTGTTTCCCTTGGGTTTGAAGGGGACTGTTTGTTCAGAGTCCATGTTCCCAACCTGTTTGGGATTTTTATCTAAAGTCAGATTGCCATGGTTTCCGCACATTCCAGTTTACTTAGTAAAAATTCAGCCCTTGTAGAGTTGGCTGTAAATGGAGTCCCTAATTCCAATTTGAGGCATAATCTGATTAGTACTTTTCATATTAGAATAATGAGCAGTGAATACTCAGCATTTTATTCGACTTTTTTTTTTTTTTTTTTTGGCTCAGAATGAAAAACAAGCTCATTCCACTTCATCATTCTGTACCTTTCCAAAAAGAGATGATGGCTTTTGAGGTATATTGCCACACAACACCCTTATTAACAGGCTGTCGCTTGTGACAATTTACATAAACGAAGTGTGCATCCCTCTGGTATGTATCCCAAAATAGCCAACAACTTCGCTGAATTTACACCAACCAACAAGCATGTTGACTTCTTTTCTTTTTAGCATTTTAATGGTGAAATATGTTACTGTGCTAGCAAACACACTCAGGCCATCTGTTGGGCTGTGCGGAAGGCGGTTTCGAAGAACAATTCAGTTTAGTTCTGGGTGCTCGGAGGGAGGGTCAGCGTCCACCCAGTTGTGGCAGGAAAGGAAGTCTGTTCGCTCGTGTGCTCGCTCTCTGTCTACAGCACACACCACCTTCCTGCGACCATGTCTCTCCTTCCTCATCCCCCTTCACACTTTCCCTCTCCTCTCTTTTCCTTGGTTCCTGCTTGGCCATCTCAAGTGGGATGGATTAGCAAGAGGCCCCCTGCAGACACCTCTGGGTGATCTGCTGAGATTATGAGAGCCAAGTGCTTCCTGGAGAAAGAAGGAGAAGGAAGTGAGAGTGAAAGAGGCCACTCCACAAAGAACTTTCCTGGGGGAATCTTACATCCTGGAAGCAACAAAGGTTGTTCAACATGAGGAGTAAGAGGGACTCTATTCTCGAGCGTTAGCACCGCAGAACAGCGCCAGCAGACGTTCTCAAGGTGGGATGAACTTGTCCCCCTAAGTCTGACAGGCTGGAAAAAGACTGAATAATGGAGTGAAGGCCTTGGTCACCAGTTACATTCAATCTCGGAGGACACCAATCGCCGTGGTGCGATTGCAGAGCTGGGCCCTACAGAGGTCACAGAGCAACCTGGCCCAGAAGAGCATCTTTGCAGGGCCCTGCTCTAAAAAATGGTGTCCCCAAAGTTCCCGTATTCAATCGATATTTCGTGCCATGGGCTGCTCAGTGCAGTGGACCAGCAGCTAATAAACTTGTCCTTATCCATAAGCCGCCGTATTATGTGACTCTGTCTGGGCCAGGAACCAAGGCGTGCTATGATTTCAGAGACTGGATGCCTATCACCTGGGGAAGAGACGGGCTCCCGTGACGTAAGAGAGCGGAGAAATCAACCATCACCAAGACCTGCAGACTCCGAAATTAAAGGAGAAAATATGCGTGCAGTTGGTTCAACTGGCACCCATTAAAGCTAATAACTAATCATCCTCGCAAGTTTCTAGCTCAGAATGATCAAATCTGCAAAGAAAACAACATCCGTCCACTTTTACACTCCAGTGGAAGAGGTGGTCCCTCGCGGCAGGGCGGCACAGTCTTGCCATCTGGAGAATAAATCAAGTGTGAAGTACAGTATAGTTTGGGACCAAGCTCCGTAGCGGCAGGTTGGGAGACAGTTCGTTATTTTCCAAATTTCAGTCCCTCGCGGCAGGGCGGCACAGTCTTGCCATCTGGAGAATAAATCAAGTGTGAAGTACAGTATAGTTTGGGACCAAGCTCCGTAGCGGCAGCTCGGCAGCCAGTTCATTAGTTCCAAACTTCCAGGGATTAGAGCGGCATCAATTCTACTGTCGGATAGGATGAGACAGACAGGGTACGAGATTCAAGGAGGATTGTGACAACCCAGAGGAGCCCCTTGGGCTTATTTATAAAACTACAAAGTATAAACATACTCAAATAAGTGCCTTAAATAATAGCATTATCACAGTTTCATAACATCTGAATTAACACCTTTCCCTTCGCCCTCCACCCCCTCACTCCTGCTCAAACCTTGAATGCTAATGCATGATTGTTTTTTTTTTTCCAGAGGAAATTGCAAAGACAATCCCGGATGCAACAGGACCAAGGAGAAAGCTCTGTGTGAGATTTGGTAATTAAGAAATAGGAAAGACTTTCTAAACTCCAGGGAGATGCACAACATTTGTAATTAAAAAACTAAATACAATTAATATGTGTATCCTACAAACGGCCAATTCCCATGTCACGTATTCAAAAACACTAGCGGAGTCTAACTTTTCTGAATTTGTTCATTGCATCTCATTTTCGTTTTCTCCCATTCATAAGAAGATGTCACAGGTACAGAGTAGTCTAAATTCTGAGCAGAAGGCCCTGAGATTAGTATTTCTATGAAAAGTTCTTTGAAAATTCCAAGGTCAAATTTGGCTTAAAAACCAAAAAGCTCTGAGCAAATCATTCCAC